TATCATAACAAAGATTAGTAGCTTTGCCCCAACATACCCATTATTTCTATCCAGCAATCACTTACTCTTAATTGGTAAAAATCAGACACAAAATAAGGTTTCCCTTTGTTGGCTCTGCCACTTTTTCAGTATGATTCTATTATTATGAAAAAAATCAAGAAATTATTAGCTTGTTACAACTCCAAGTTCCTCTCTAAACCAAGTTTCAATTAAAATCAATTAAATCCCTACCCTCTTTCTTCCCCTTCTCCTCTGTCTGATATCCCTCTACCCTCCAACCTCCTAATACAGGTCATAATGCCCCATCTTCCTCCTCTTTAGCTCCTTTTGTTTATTTCTTTCCTCACTGAAGGCATCCTTCTAGTTTTAAAGGGACACTGCATTTTTCCTAATCACCTGGACAGTAGAGAACGTATGGAATACAGGGGACAATGAGCAGATCTCCTCCCGACCCCAGAGCCAGAAGAAACTGGTGCTATTGTTTCTTTGGACACTCTCAATTGCTACAACTGTGGATGGTGTTCCATAGAATGTTCTAACCTCCCCCCTACACCTGTAGCTGCACCATTCTAAGAATTGTACCCACTCCCTCTGCCCTGGTATTGCGTAAGAACCCCCATGTTCAACCCCCTCCTCAGGCACTCCACTATTTTGGTGCTGTGTGGTGGTCCCTAATTGTAATTCCCTTGTCTTCACTAAAGAGCCTAGTTTTTGTTACTTAAGTAGTATTCCTTATTTCAAGTTGATATTTCCACTCCTCAAGACCCCTTACCATCTCTCACAAGAAGGGAAACCAGCCTACACATTAAAAACAGGACTGTACGGTCATCTTTCCTTGTTATATAACCTAATGGAACAGTATTAGATAGCTAGCCTACATAAATAAAATACATCCAAAAGAAAATTCATTGATAAAATGAAAGTACAGTCAATTCTTAATTAACCAGTTGAAGATTATCCATTAATGCCAAACTGATAATACCAAATGGAAGGCAAAGAGGATGACTAAAGGAAATGTAAAGTGCTTTCCCAACAAAACAAAGACTTACTAACTACAACTGGCAAACAACCAAAGCTTAGGATGACAGCATAGATTGGTATATCATTGCAATAAACTCTTGGAAGCTAAAAAGAATACTATTTCCAACTTATAAAAGCAAAATTGGTAGATATAAGTCACTAGTAGATATGAGAATTACCATATTTAAAATAAAAAAACCAGGGCAGAAAATAAAAAGATGTCATAGGATGGGGAAAATTCTATTTCTTTAAAGATAATGTGCCACATATGGCCCAAATCCCTTCTACTCTCTGCCTTACCTTGCTTCCCATTTTATTTTCCACCTTTTTTTTTCCAAATCTGAACACTATTTGTGGTATTTCATCACCACAAAATTTACATCAACCAAAATTAAAAGGTAAAGAGTGGGAGAAAATGTTGTTAAGAAACTCAAGATCTTTCTTGTGTTTTAGTAACAGAAACCACCAATGGTGGAAGGCAATGGCTGTGTCTGTTAAAGACTTGGCTTTAAGAGGCAAAACACAAGTCTCTACATTTCTAAATGATTTAGCAACTCTTGCCATAAACACTCCTAAAGCACAAGCTGATTTTTATATTAAAAAATAACTGTATCCTGCAAATAGAGGAAGTTAATTTTGACATCTCATTTCAACTACTCTCCCTGTAAGAAAATTTTCTTTAAGGAGGAACTCAGAAAGAATATTCAGTTATAATTAAATTCCTTTATGCCATAAATGCAAACAACAGGAATTGAAAGAAAAGTCACATGGCACAAACTAATATCATTCAAAATATGAGAACTGCAGCTATGAACACCCATAAGGTAGATTTTAAATCTTTCTCCAAATAATCTGTCATCATAAATGAGTTTCCATGGTGGGTGGTATATTAAATAGTGTCCTAACTATAAATAAATGTCTACTGTGAGGTCACAGAATATACCCTGGGTGGCTTTTTTCATTCTCATTACCTCATTTTGACTAATGTGACCCACATCTCACAGTTTCAGACACTACTGGTGTATGAAATTCTACTTCTAGAAGTGAGGTTAAATGACTGATTAAGTTAGTATTACTGTTGTGATTATTGTTATCATTTATTGTCTACAAGTGCATCTCATTCTGAGAGACTTCCTTCTTAAGCAGAAGAATTATTTCTGTTAAGTACAGTTTATAGTAATCATTTTTGCTTGCACCTTAAAAATTAATGGATTTCAAGGGCAGCTAGGTGGCACAGTGGATAGAGCTCTGGCCTTGAAGTCACGAGGACCCGAGTTCAAATCCTGCCTCAAACACTTGACACTTACTAGCTGTGTGACCCTGGACAAGTTACTTAGCCCCAATTGCCTCACCAAAAAGCAGAAGAAAAAAAAAGTATCTTTAGGGGCAGTTTATAGTAATCATTTTTGCTTGCACCTGAAAAATTAATGGATTTCAGGGGCAGCGAGGTGGTGCAGTGGAAAGAGCACCGGCCCCGAACTCAGGAGGACCTAAGTTCAAATCCGACTTCAGGCACATAATACTCACAAGTGCTTCGTGACTCTGGGCAAATCACTTAACCCCAACTGCCTCACCAAAAACAGACAGACAGACAAATAGATAGATAAAAATTAATGGATTTCGATGGGAGAAACTGTCATGGAGGGAGAGGAGGCCACGGCGGTGGAGGGAGAGGTTTGGGGCCATTCCTGGGGCTCCCCTGCTCATTTCTGAATGGGCTCTCTCTCCATGGGACCTCATAATCTGAGAGGGCTGGAGGCTAAACCTGAGGACACGATAAAAAAATAAATCTCTGTTCTTCCCTAGGGGCATAGCCGGCCACGCAGGCAAGGCTGTGAGGCCTGGCCTGCCAACCTGTGGACATAGATGACAGCAAGGTAGCTGGAGGCAAAGTAAAGAAACCAGGTAAACGTGGTTGGAAGCCAGCCAAAACTGACTTGAAGGCAAAGCTTGAGAGAAGCCCGCAGAACACACTGTATGGCCAGAAAGAAACTGAGATATCAATATCTGGAAGCATTGGTGTCTAGTCAGGAGAGAACCATCTGTGGTCTCAGAGAAGAACTAGAAATGTACAAGCAATTGTGTATGGCCCTCCAAAAGGAAAAAAAATTAATGGATTTCTTTGAAACATTAACTATTTATAGTCTAATAAATTTGCAAGCTAAATGTTCAACAGTTTTTTTCTTTTTTACAAAAGGTTTTGCCATCATCCTATTCATACCCAGCTAACACTCAAGGTCATGCAAGGTCAACACATTTTTGAACATGACCATTATAGGAATTTGTTTTCCTTAATTATGCGTATTTGTTACAAGGCTGTTAACTCTTAAATTTCTTTTCCAGTAAGGGAGGAGGTAGGGAGAGAAAATAAATGCTTGTTAATTGAAAAAAAAATTAACTCAAAATAAACAAATTAATATTTATCCTGTAAGCTTTATACAGATCCTGGTCCTTGGATTAGCTTGAAAAAGGCTGGTAGAGCAACAGAAAGGAGACCTTCCTTCAGCTGGAAGTGCTCAACAAGGCGTTGGCAGCGTTCACACTCCCTACATTTCCTTTTCATCCAAAATCCAGCCAACTGTAAATACAAACCCTTCAACCAATCCACTGGATAGAACATACATATGATTTATGAATTGGGTTTTACTGTCACTTTTTAGTGGAATAAAGGTAATTTTTGCCACATAACTTGATTTGTAAAGCATTTGCTGATAAATATTGGGGATGAGATAGCACAGTTCTCTCTCCAACCCTCTGAATTCACCCAAAGGACCTAGAACAACATTGCTCACAGTTTTTGAGGTAATAAATATTTGCTAATGTTAGAAATGAAAATCATTTACTCTTGGATTTTTAACATTTTACTATTATACACTATGTATACCCATGTGACCAGTACCTTATAAGAACTATAATGTATGTCATAATAATTTCCCAGCCATTTCTATCAAGTGCATAAAGAATATTTTATCCTACTACTTGCATTAGATATTAACTAACAAGAGGGCTAAAAAGTTCTAGAATGCTATTCTAGACTAGGAATTCCAAATTTCTAAAACATGCACAAAGTGATGATCTAAGAGGAAACCTTAGGAGAAGGTGAGTTATTATACCAATTTTGGCAATTATCACTTTAATAAAATAAATAAGCCATCATTAATATAAATCAAAACAAGAAATAAGCTAACATCCTTTATTATTCAGGACTGAAACAACTCTAAGGTACCTTCAAGTAACTATCATCCTTGACTTATTAAGTCAGTAATACTCACAAAGAATTCTCAAACTATAGCCTGCCCCCTCAGGCTTATTATACTAGCTAAGGGATAACAGGCAAATTAAGATTAGCATGTTTCTCACTTACTTTAACAGGTACTTTCTAATGGTTTTAGTATTTCTCCCTTCTTATATTTCCAATCACAATATATATTTAAATATTACTCGACTTTCCCTCTAGGTTTTATTTTGTTTAATTTAAGGCTAAAGTAATCAGATTGTCTTAACTTTTTATTTCATGTTAAAAACTAAAAATAGAATACTTTAAGCCAACTTCCTACATTATATGAAAACATTTTTTACCCTAGACAATTTCAGTTTCACTACCATGCCATGTAATAAGTGTTACTGTACCAAAGACTTACTAAGACTAGGATCCCAAAAAACCTAACATTCTGAAATAAAACGAGGCAAATTTCTAATAAAACCAATAATTTTAATTAACCTACCAGTCTGTATAAAAATTTAATTTTAAAATTAATTGGAAGTTTCTACTTTAATAATATGATGACTGTTTTACAGTTCAGTAGTATTACCCTTCTATCCTAAAAATGAGAACATAAGAATGGCAATAAAATGTATTTACTTAATGAAAGAGAATCAGTTCAGAATAATGTGCCCTTCCTCCTAACTCTCTCCCAAAGTTAAGAGTAGAAAGAATCACCCTTTTTTCCAGGAGAAAAGAAACAAGAAAGCCAACATACTTATCAGGTTTCCTCTGGCATCTCTGAGTGGAGCACCCCCTCCACCTTTTCCCCAGGGATTGTAACTTCTCATTTCAGCTTCAAGTTTAGCTTCATATTCTTCTTTTTCCTCTCGCTCTTTCCTCCGTCTTGCTTCTCTTTCCCGTATCTTAACACAATAAGCAACAATTTACAATGCTGTACTACCAATCTGACACAATAAAAATTAAGGACACCATTATTATTTTCCTCCTCTTATCCAAATTACTGAAGAAAAAAACCTAGCCTTTTCTTTGTAAGAGGTATTCAATTCACAAATATAGTTACCAATTCACAAAAATTCATCATGCTGTCATTCATTTCCCCACCACCAATGATGATCACTTCCCATCTAGGACAACCTCCTTAATTGCAATAGACTACCTACTGTACCTTGTCTATTCCTCCTGGGATATTTCTGTGAAAGCTCTTGGTACTCCTGTCTAGCTTCCTCCAACTGCATTGTTTTGGAAGCTGAGTAGCTCTAGATCCTCTATCTCTACATGACTCCTGGAGTTCCTTCCAATTCAGGACTCCAAAGAGACCCTAAGCTTGGAAACAGGTTCAGAAACAAGATGAGTTGGAGACTCAAAGCTACTACTGGTTGAGGTGGTGGAACTGAGCTGACCCAGGGGGTAGTAGCCTCAAAAGCAAAGGGTCCATCAAGAGCTGATGGAAATGAATAAAGAGTAAATGAAGTCCGAGGACCTGAGCTACACAACAGCATAGCATAGATATCTGAAGAACCAAATTATACGGATTTTCAACTATTCATAGTTTCAAGTCCTAGTAAACATGAATGGGTATATCTACGATAATATCCTTTTAAAATAATTTGATAAGTATATTATTTTTTAAAAGCAGCCTTCAAGACTAATACAAATACTCCATAAAAAGCTGCTCTGACCAGTTTCAACGTACAAGAATACTGCTAATAAATTATAACCAAGCTCCTCCCTAAAGTGAGTCCTGCTAAGACATCCTTCAGCCAATCACCAGAGATCTACCCTTCTCAATAACGGTTCTAAGATAAGGCCTGTGTTCTCTGGTCAGACTGTTAAATAGCAAAGGGAAATGTAAAACACTTAACAAATGATACTGAGAACTGATGTCCAACAATCTAAAATTTCTCACTAAAACAGATTTTAAATCAGGAGATGGACCATTTTGTTAGATAAAGTCAGCTCTTCTTTGCATTTTTCCTTCCAGGATATCGTTAAATGCTCTGATCTGAGCCAGATCTCTCCTCCTCCCTAACGTTTTCCCTCTCCCAATTCTTCTATTTGGAAGAACAAAACCTCAAGAACCCCTCTGATGCCATTCAAATAATCCTGCTGCCTTCACATATAGTCTCAGCAGTCCTCTGTGCCCCCAGCACAACAATTCAAGTAAAGTTGTATTTTTGTGAAACCAATGGGTAGAATGTGCACTGAGTAGGATATTCATGTACCTTTTAAACAAGCTGTTTTCTGATAGGAAGTACTATGCTCAGCATCAGTTCATCTCGTATATTTAATAATGGGCAACCTAGTCTACAAAGTTTTTAAGATCCTTAATTTTGCTATTATTACGTAATTAGAAAGACTGTCTAAACTGGTTTACCATTTGGACTATGACTGAATTTTTAACTTAACTATTCTTTATTTTAAGTCATTTTCTCCCAAATAAAGCATTTTGTTAAACACAAGTTTTGAGTGAATTTTGATTTCAAAAGGGATAACGTGTTCCCTTACATAAAACAAACTTCAGCAATTATAAAGTCTAGCTTGCCTGAAGACTGGAAATAGTTAAGTCAAACACTTAGAGAATTCTTGGCAAATTTACAATGCTGACAATCAAGCAGAGTTTTAGAATAAATATAAATTGATTCCATTCTCCCAAATAATTCCCCCATATGTACACTGAAATAGTTATTGTATTTTATACCTGTTGCTGCAAATCATATTGATAAGATTGAACTGATTCCTTGGTAAGCCTTGGTTTATCTTCAAAAATGAGTCCTCCTGTTCTTGTCCTATCACTCACAGTGCTCAGTTCATTCAAAATATTTTTGTTCCTGTTCGAAACATATAAATAATGTGAAATGTATTTAGAAAATTAAAACAAATAGTTTGTTGAAATAACATGGAATCTATGCTAAACTAAAATGGGATGACTTTGAGGTGGGGAATAGTGGACTACACATCAAAGATATCATCTTGAAAAAACCCTCAGGATGACAACAGAAGAAATAACTAACAAAAGGCCTAAAATAATAAGACCTAATATGTAAACATATTTAGACTTAATTTTAAGTACAGTAAAAAAGAATATCTAAACAGCAAGTAGGCCAGTTCAAAATGAACAGAAGATTCCTGAACAAATATAAAATTTAAAAAGTAGCAAGAGAAAATGTAATACATATAACCCTTGAACAACAAAATGTTGCGCGGGCTTAAACATTGCAAATTATAGAACACGTGATCCTTGCAACTTAAAGCAAACCTGCCATTTAAGAAGCCCAACTTAAAAAGGACAAATTAGGGACTTATTATTTACCAAACAAACAGACTCTTCACTTTATAAAATAATCCCAAACATTAAGTTGTTAGATTTCTTGATGCATTTAAAATATCACTTTATTTACAAAAATTCCATTTGCATAAACTTTCTCAGGAACGTATCTCTTGCACAAGGAATACATACATGTATATAAAATCACATTACTGAGTTTTGAATCTTGCCTCACTTAAAAAAATTTAAATTTTAGTTAAAAAACTAAAATCAATGAGAAATTTTGATGATGAAATGTGTTCCCAAAAAAAACCTAAATCAATTCTAAAAAAAAGTATCTATTTAAAATTACAAAAGATAAAGAAAAGTCAAAGAAAAGCAATGTTAACTATCTCATATTTCTCTTCAGAGCACTCTGAACCTCCTGTTCACAACAATAACAGCTGGCATTTATAGACTGCTTTAAAGTTTGCAAAGCTTTTTACAAATATTATCTCATTTTAACTTTATAACAACCCTGAGAGGGTAAATGTTATTATTATCTCCATTTTTTGGAGAGGAGAACGAGACAGATGGAGATTAACTTCCTCGAGGGGCCAGATTTGACCTCTGGTCCTCTTACCTCCAGCACACTCTATTTTTTTTTGCCTTTTTTTCGGTGAGGCAATTGGGGTTAAGTGACTTGCCCAGGGTCACACAGCTAGTAAGTGTTAAGTGTCTGAGGTAGGATTTGAACTCAGGTCCTTCTGACTCCAAGGCCAGTGCTCTATTCACTGCGCCACCTAGCTGCCCCTCCAGCACACTCTATTAGGCCACCTAGCTGCCCACCTAATGACCAGGAGAGGGGGAAAAAAATCTAAAAGCACTTTTACTTCATAATTCTAATGTAATCAATGGATAAAGGCCCCCAAAACAAAACAATCTAAGGCTACTATCAAAATAGGCAAATGAGAATCAACAAGATGGACGCAAATAGTTGAATCCATGCTACACTCCAATTTCAAGACAGCTTATTATAATACCAAGGGGTTTCTCCAGATATCATCAGAAAGCAACTTTATTAAAATATGACACAATATTCTGAACTACAACATGTCATGAGGCAAGTAATACTAGAAGGACAAATGCAAACAAGTAGAACAGTACTGGTATGGAGTAGGAAAAAGCGTAAGAAAATAAAACTTCCCAGTGGTTTTCTGGCAGCAGCATTCAGGTAAGTGGATTAGCCACACTGTTTCTAGTATTCTAAATAAAAGCAACCCTAGAGTGGAAAAGGACAATTGATTTTCTTTGCTCTAATTCCATTTTCTTGAAGAAACCTCAAATCAAACTGACATATTAAAATTAATTTTGACAGTCTGGAATGCTAGGGCAAAACCATGTAAGATGGTATTCAGGATTTATAAACAGGCTAAGTAGAAAGCACTTAATTTAGGGTCAAAAAAATCATTTGTTAAAAGTTGGTGGAGGATACTTGATTTATCAATGCATAAATGAAAAAGATCTAACAGTCTTCACCTAATCACAAGCTTAACATGAAACAATGAACTAATAGCTATTTTTTTTAGGTTGCTAAAATAAACAATACAATCTGAGATGACACTAAATAAAAGCAGTGTCCAGGACGTAGGAAGTAGTGTTTCCAGTGTTTTCTGAGCTGGCTGGACCACAGGAAAAGTATCAGATACAACTCTAGATATCATAATTTAGGAGGCAAGAAAAACTGTAGCATTTTCTTCCATTTTCAAGTCTAAGGATATTTTTCAAAGTAATAGTTAAAATAACAATGAATACTACTTTTTATGCAAATGTTTTGAGTCCTAAAGTCTCCTATCTACCAATGTAGCTACAACACAAAAAAGTAACCTGACAATCATAAAAATGTGATAGGTAAGGATGAATTAATTTTCAAATAAAATCATCCAATGATCTTTTACACCACGGGTAGGGAGGCTAGGGTAAGGATTGAAGGGAAAAGTAGAAAAGAAAATACTTAATAAAACAAAATCATTGACATCTAAATCCGTTTTATATTTTCCACTGTCTACCATTCATCCTACCCCCTTGGTCAATGTTCATTTGTGAGTTTCAAAAAAACATATTAAAATTAAGTGTTAAAAGTAAACATTATGCACTGAACTAACTATCCACAGAGGATAAACCAAGTGGACAAAGAATGTCTACTCTCCAGATTATGATATACAATTGGATGGTTCAACAATTCAAACGCCTTGGACTGACACCAAAGACAGACAATAAGCTGGATCCAGAACTGAACATGAGGAAGACACTATGGAATGGACTACTATGGAAAAACTGTGCAATGCTTGCAATGACCCCAAGCTTCTCCATGAAACAAACACCCATCTCTTTAACATCAATATTCTTTCAGTAACAGCTACAAGTCATAGAATACTAGCTCCAAAAACACTAACGTTAAAGAGTCAAATGCTAGGTGTGAGTGGGCTGCAACAAATCACCCATGAAAAGCTGTATAAAAGTGCCTCATCACCAGGGGGACTTACTATCGGAAAAGGAGGTAGACCAGTTACTCAAGTAAATAAGAGACAAGAATGCCATAGGATGGGAATGTATGAATAGGTTGATATCTGGAACATTAGACAGTGTTCTCAACACAGATCTAATAAAGAATGTTCAAATATGTAAACAATAGTCAACAAACACATATACACACACAAATACATATACACACAATAAGATTCTACAATAGAAAGCAGTTAATTTAGAAAGGGTTAATGTATTTAAAATCCCTCCCAAAATTATGTTATATAGACTTACATAATGGGTCCCACTGGTTCACAAGCATCAGGGCCACTAGCAAAGGTTGGTGGAGGTATTCCCATCATTCCTGGGTTATCTAGACAAAATAAGAAAATATGTAGTCAATCTGAGATATCTATAAAACAAACAAACAAAAAAATTTAAGAGCACCTAGAGCAAAGGCATATGAAAAAAATCAACAACAAAAAAAATGACCAAATAACTACAAAAAAATTTTAATCATGTTGCTCTGCTTTACCAATTCAAAAGGAAAAAAATAATACATCACATTTTCTAAAAACAACTTAAAAGGTAGTAAAGCAGTGATCTGTATTGTGCATCACTGTGGATTTCAAAATAACATATTTTTTAAAAATAGCTAACATGATAATACAAAGGCACTTATTACTTTTCTTATAAAAACTTTTTAGAAATCTCTTTTCATATTTTCCACCAAGAAACCAAGTCTCCTTTCTGAACCAAGAGGTAATATACTTACTGAAGCATTAACTTACAATATACAAGACTGGGATCCAAAGGATTCCTGGCCCCATAAAAATAGTATGCTTCATCATAAGGAGTTCGATAGTTGAGCAAAGATGATGCAGGTGGAGGGGCTAGGGGTGGAGGTAGTGAGGTAATCCTATACCAAAATAAAGTTAGAAAATCCATTTCATATTTCATTGTATAACTTACAGAAATTAAGATTAAAAAGGCCCCATATAGCAGAATTTTATTGTTGCAAATCTAATATTTGCTATAATGTGTCCTAATATAATACAGATTCAAGTGTAATTGGAATAAGAAATTAAATCCCCTCATTTGAGGCATATGTTGATACAAGAAATAATTTAGATGGATTTAGTTAGGATCCAAATGCAAAGTTTCTTTTTTTTAATGCTTTACTCTTAGATTCAAGAGAACAGAATTTCTACTATGTCACTAAAGTCCCTTCCACTTCTAAATTTGTGAACCCATAAAGAAAGTGATGAATTAATTTCCTTTTAAAACACATTTGATTGAAAGTAGAAACTTTACCCCTTCTTCAAAAAGAGGCCTGTTAACCAGCCTCTTTTGTGCATCCAAAATAAAGCAATGCTCATAATTTAAAACAAACAAAAAAAACACCTGTAAAGCATAACAATTAGTCTTAAGTTAACTTCTGGCTAAGCAAAAGGAATTTGCTACTTCTTGCCAAAAAACAAGATTTATAGAACTTTTATATATGAGAGCTTTAAATAACTGTCTTCAAACAAAGAAGAAAAAACCACCAGTTTTAAATCATGTATGATAAAAAGTCATTTGTAATAGCAGCAGTAGTAAGAGAGAGATTAAGAAAAAAAGGAAAGAAATTGGGGGGGGGGTTTGGGAGAGAAAACCCTGTCCCCTACCACCAATGCACTCCAAGGTTCAGTACTAGGTGCAAATGGTGTTCTGATGCCATCCCAGGACCCCATCACCATTCTTCCTTTGCCCTCCTTCTCCAAGTACCTTCTACCACAAATGGGAGGGGAAGAAAAAATTAAGGCAAGAGGGAGAAAGCTTGAAGGAACAGAAAATGAGGTGAAAGAAAGACAGGGAGGTAAGAGAAGAGGAAAATAGAGATGGGATGAGAAAGAAGAAAAAGGAGGGAACTGGTAAATGGAAAGGAGGAATTTGTAAAAGAAGGAAAACTCATTCGACATTTTTCCTTACTACTCCTACTCACTCTCCTTTTCATGGTCTCAGGAGTCTTCCAAACACATTCTTACTCAGATGCGTACCCACAAATACATCCTCATGTACACACACATACCTATTTATAGACATAGACTCACATACATCCTACACACATTTCCATATATAAATCTACACACACACCCCTAACCACAGTTATTTGTGCATCCACACAGGAACATTCATGTTTTTCCTACAAGTCTCCTTGGCACACATATACTTCCATGTCCTCAGTCCCTCCCAAATACACAACGTACCCTTATCTCCCACATAAGTTCTACTTATATCTTGAGACATATACCCCCTGATGTATCCATCTCCCCAGATCCCACACTTACATCTCCATATGTGTCCACCATCCATACATCCCTCCATGTCCCCACAGATACATACTTCTCTTATATCTACAACTCTCCCACAGATATACCACCATGTTACTTCTAGATATCTTCCTACATACAGATCCTCTCCATGTGCCTATCATTCACCCACATATACACACATACCCTAGTAGTCCCTCTCCCACATATATAATGTCCAATGTTCCTCCCCACTAACAAGTAAATGGTGCCAATAACATTTTATCATCTATCATACACCATTTGGAAGGGAGTCATCATCACTGTTTTACAGGAAAAAAAATGAAAACTCTGACCTGAAGGAACAGTCAGGGATATAGAAGTATAGAATCTTTATTCCCAGTTCTTATGGTAGCTCTTTATAGAGGAACGAGAATGTGGTCACTCTTGGGACCCATCTCTAGCAAGGTGTATCTTTCTACAGTCACGTAGCCCTCCATTTCCCTCACACATATATATTACACACACATATGGTACATTCACAAACATACTCGTGAACTTGCACAGTGGAGTCTAAACACAAAGAAAGAGAAAAACATATACACAAGAGTCTACAAGCATGTGTATGTGTGTGTGTATGTGTATACATATAAGTATACATATATATGCATGTATACACATATATGCACATACACAAAATTATATGCATATACATACACATATACACAAAAATTATACACTCATGAACACAAACACTCATAATTATGGTATAGACCATAGGATTTGCAGGAAATTATTCACCTTACTTAAGAAGATTTTTGCTTTACAAAAGTGTTCTCAAGTAAGAAGCTATCCTAGTGGGAGTATGAGATTATTCAACTTCTTAAAATTTTATTGATATATAACTTTTTAGGAACATCTGTTATCTGCAATGGAATATTAATGTATTCTCCTTTTTGAAGTGGGGGAGATGTACAGCCCAATTCTAACCAAAATCCAAAGAAAGATTAAGCTAGGTTATTTACATGCTCTTCCAACCTTCACCTAGGTCTGCAAATGGGAAAAACTCCTTTCCAAGGTACTGAAACCACAAAGAAAAACAAAAAAAAAAGGGTAGGGGGTTAGAGGTAGGGATGAAGGAGCCAATTTCAAAAATGATGTTTTGACATAATCATGATACTTAATTAGATACAGGGTGACCTAAACATCTTGGTGAAGTTTTAAGCTTTACTTATACTGCACTAAGACTTTTGCAACACCCTATATTTAAGGTCTTTGGGAACACTGAAGTAGGATGTCTCATACTTTCTCTATTCAACAATGAGCTTCTGTCTAGATTTCTATACCTTCAGTGGAATTCCTTAAGAAGTTTTCTAAAAGAAAAAGGAAAAAAACATCCATTTACTTTGCTTCCCCAGAAATCCTTTTCTGGTACAGCTTAGCTGACTCTCCCAAGTTATTTACTTCAAAATTATTTTGAAGGACCAAAAATATGTCTTTTACACATTTCACTGGTCATCTAATCTCCTTTCCTTTTGTCTTACCTTTTCAACCAAATATCTGCAATGCAGCAAGGTAGCTGAACATTTAAGGCAATGAATAATCCTCATCTCTCTTAGCCTCTTTGGAACTTTATGAACTGTATTTAACTTTATAAACTATATATCAATATTGTTATCCAACCTGTCATTAACAGACATAAAATCTGACAATGGGTAGTACAGCACATGAAATGAAGAAAAAAAATACTTTATGAACAGAACAGTGACGGCAAGAAGAATAATTATAGTACAGACCATAGGAATAGAAAGCACAAGAAGGATTCATAATACCTTACATTTATGGATCTCAAGTAATGAATACCATTAATTCTTTAAGCCTTAGTATAATATACAACTTACACTGGATCTACAGTCTGAAAACTTATTATGATAATTGAAGCCTATCTTAGGCATTCAAGTTTTCTAAGGCCTAACTTGCCACAGAAAAGTAGCTAAAGAAAGACACCAGTTAGAATGATACACATGTAAAAGACAAAGCCATACTGGATTTTTCTTTTCATAAGAAATTAAAGGAAGAATTCAATGTTTGCCAAGTGGAAATTTCCAAAACTAGCATCACAATACAGTTTACATATTTTCAAAGAGATATTACAAAGAATGGTCATTCTAAATTAAAACCTAAAACAAATTTTAAAGTAATCAGCATTCATCTAAAAGGGATAAAAAAATGTTCAATAATTTTTCTTGGTTTCACAAAGTCAGGAACTACAGATAACAAAATCAAATGTTATAACTGAAGAAATCATTCAAAAGAACTTGACAATTCTCTAAAGATAGCATTTTCTTCATGATTAAATTCACAGATTCATCTAAATGTCAAAGATAATAGCTTACCTAATTCCTAAAAAGAAAAACATTATAAACAAGCACCTGGATGACATCATTTCACCAAGGGTAGTGTTGATCCCTTGGTTAAAGTCTTCACTTAAAGATGGCCTAGGCAGGTCAGATAAGGTGGGAAGAGGTGTCTGGAAAGCTACTTTGGGCCTTTCCGGCGGAATCTTCTCTTCAAAAAGTGAAAACTTCTTTTCATAGCATCTCGGGCTCATACCTAACTGCTTTAATCTATCAGGCTAAAAAAAAGAAAAATAAATGATTATTCTGTAAATTCACTGATGTTAATGACTGGAAGAGGTTTCAAGAGGTAATCATCTCTAACCCTAATAATATAATAATTAAATAACCCAAAAGTCCTTCAGTCAAGTAAAGTGTTACTTCACCACTTTACAGATGAGGAAACTAAGGCCCACAAAGACCAAGTGAATGAAAAGACCTAACCAAAAAAAAAAAAGTACAAAAGAAGGTGGTAGAAGCCAGGGCTCCTTCTTGTAAGAGTCATATTTCTCTCCACACAGTCGCCATGATTGATTCCATGATAGCACAGCAGAAGCCTGGGATACTGAGGAGGGAGGGAGGGTCAAAAGAAGCATACTTCCCTGGGCATCAGAATATTAACACCAACAGCTTATACTTGTATAGTGCTTTAAGATTTACAGAGGGCTTTTCTCACAACACATGGCCTGGATGTAACATCAGAAACCATGGGCTGGACATTTCTGCCATGACTAGACTTGTCACCTCAGGCAGATACCTCACTTACCTTCTCTAAACCTAGGTTTCTTCATCTGTAAAATAATGGGGGCAGCTATGTGGCACTAGGCCTGGAGTCAGGAATACTCATCTTCCTGAGTTCAAATCTGGCCTCAGACATTTATGGCAAACCACTCCGGTATTTTTGCCAAGAAAACTCTAAATGGGGTCACAAAGAGTCGGACACAACTGAAAAACAACTCAACAACAACAAAAATAATAACACTTGCATCACCTACATCTTAGGGATGTTTTGAGAAAAGGGCTGTGTAAACTATGAAGGCTATTTAAATGTCAGCTATTATTATTATTGTGAATTTTATATCCCTTTTAAGAGTGGCTCACTCACATCAATGTTATTTAAACACTGGCAAAATGTCTTACATTTACTTTCCCTATTAATCCAAAACTATCTGGGTTTTATTCAAACAGGAAAAAGTGTAAGATCCTCAAACCCCAAAACAATCTTAAATGAAAGCATACTGCTATGCCAACCACAAACTTCATCCTATTATGTATATATACACATATATACTTATACTAAATTGGTTTCAAAAACTTTCTTTATAGCAAATAGTCTCAAAAACCAATGATACCTAAGTTGTCAATAACTCAGATACAAATGGCTAGTGCCACCTTGTCACTGGAGCCCTCACCATCTCCGCTTCAAGAACCAGCGCCCTTCTCGGCTAATACTAGAAATCATCTCTAAAAGGTAAGAATGGCTTGGCCTTCAACAATGCCCTTATCTCTCATTTTGTGCATCTCCCTCAGGAGTACAAAGAGGCTCAAAGATGATACTAGATGGGAAGGATGCTCGTGAGAACTTGGGGTTCAGAAGCTCTACTTCAGCTATAATATGGAATAAATACGATTCTGTGGGTTACCTTACGAATCTCCCTAATATCTACAAACATTATTTCAAATCTCCCTAATATCTACAAACATTACTTCTCTATAATCTCTACAGTCTCTTCTGGCTTTAAAATGTTAGCATATTGAATTTTTGAGGGAAATGTATTCCATATTCCAAACAACTGGCTAAATATGAACATAACCTATCTCAAGTTAGGAGATGCCTATAATTTTAAAAGCATATGAAGAAAGAAATTTCAACCTACCATAGTATTCTTTCCTATGAAAATGCACTTAGTTTTGGATATTGAGATAAATCCCAATTATCTGTGCTAAGAAAAGAGCCCAGATGATCACAAATAATTTATATTTATCCTTGATTTTTTTATTTGATAATTTTTTTGCAGCATATTTAGCTCTCTAATAATGATTCAGGCTAAAGTTAAAATGAGTTTTGCATTTTCTGAGTACACATATGCTAGCTTCATGAAAAGGCCACCCAAAAGCATGCTAGGTGACAAGGGAAAACTAGTGCAACATTAAAAATGTAGGAAAAAAAATAACCCATATAATTTGCACAGAATCAAATATTAACCAACATACATAATTTTTGTCTTAAGTTGCTTTTGTTCTTTTTAAGGCTAAACTTTTTATAAATTTACTTTTTTCTTTTTTTAAAATACTTTTGGTCATCATGTACTATGATACATCACAAAACATGCATTAAAAGACCAAATATTCCCTTCAGCAAATAAATACTACATATCCAACTAGATAAAAATAGCATTTCAGATAAGAGAAATAATTACCTCCTTTTTACTTAGCTGCAATGACGTTAGTAATCCATTCTGCTTATAATGAGAATTGCAAAAGTGAAGTACAAATAAGATTGTTACTTTCACATCATTTTAATTTTTACAACATTTACTAAAATATATTTATCAAAAGAAAAAGAAAGTTTCTTATAAAAAGAGAAAAGTTTCCTTACAAAATATTCAAGTCTAAAAGTTGACCAAGATATGGTAGGTAAAGTGTTATCTTATGTTGTACATTAAGATAACTTTGCCTTCATACATTTGTTTTAGTACACTATCATATTGCATTTGAGAAAAGCAAAAGATAATTTTCTATTAAAATTAGAATCATGATCTAAAAAAGAAAAAGAAAATGTTTTCTTAGGAAAATTAAGAACTACTAACAACTGACTTTTTAGTCTTGTTTTATAAAATATGAACCCAGGCTGGGTACTTATTATTTTTATTATAAGAATATCATCATATTCTTATAAACCTGATTTACTAAAGTACATCTTACACTTTCTTAAGATTCCTTGCTTTTATGATTCTTTTTTTCCTCCCCTATTTTCCCCACTAAATTTTATTTTAAGCATTTATGGTTATACTTTTCATAGAAAAAGGTTCATTTAAGTGAAAAGTTAAACATAATGATACCACAAATTCTCACCGATTTCTCAGGGTCAATTTCTCCAGTAGCTGCAACACTGAGTTCTAGTTCTTTTTCTCTAAATGAAACACATTAGAAAAATAACATTTAAGTGTTACAATAACCACTATAACAAATGCAAATTGAAACATTACTAACCAGTAGCATTCCTAATTATAAGCAATTGTTATACACAGCTCGCCTCTCCAACACACCCTCTGCCAGCTACCAAAATTAACTTCCTCCAATGCACACTTCTGATCACTCTCCTACTCAAAAATCTTAGTGATTCCTTATTTTATTGCCCATAGAATAAAATGCAAATTCCTTAGCCTAGCACTGACAACCTTCCACAATATAGCTCCCATCTACTTTTTCAGCTGTATTTCACAGCACTCCTCCCTTCCCTCCTTTTTTTCTAGGTATTTTCTGTTGAGCTGTTTTCCCAAATTTAAAATGCCACCTCCATCCCCACAAATGACCCCATATTCTTGTATCACCCCCTTATCTTCCAGAATTTTCCCTTTCTTCAAAGTTTTTTTTTCCAATCTTCCCTCTTCCTCAAAAGTATTCTCTCGTCAGTCAAATTTTTCAAGAGGACTTCTCCTAATCTCTCCTTCATGCTTATCACTATGATTTTCATTTCCTTTCTTATACCTCCCTAGGAGAATAGAAAAAAAAAACATATCCTCTATTCATGAAGGAAAAACCTATTTCATTTTTTGAAAACTTCCACTCTCTCTTTGCAAAGAAAGATGAACAATACAGAATTTAATTCATTATAATCCAGCATGTATTAAGTGCCTACTCTGCTCAAGACACGACCCTACAAAGACTATGCCCTGGACCCTCAAGAAACTAGTAGGGGCAAATCAATCACTCAATAAGCATTTCTTAACTGCCTACTGTGTACCAGACATACTACTATGCCCTAGAGATGTAAATTAATTAATTAATCAATCCACAAACATTTATTAAGTGTGTACTATGAACAAGGCATTGTGCTAGGTGCTAGAAATGCAAACACAAAGAAACAACTCCCACTCTCAAGAAGCATATATTCTAATATGGGAGACCAGTATACATCTCTAAGTATATACAGGATAAATATAAAAGGAATAAAGAAGTCTCTGCCCTCAAGGAATTTATATTTTAAAAGGGATACAATATGTATTGGGGGCTGGGTGAGGTAGGACTGACTGAGTCTAGCCAAGAGAATTAGAAAATGACTCATAAAGGAGAAGGCACAGTATCTGAGCTCAACTTTAAAGAAACTAGGAATTCCAAGAGGCAGAAGGGAGGAGTTCAAATATTCTAGTATGTGGAAAAGCCCAGGCAAAGGCTGCGAGATGGGGAATTCAATGATCTGGTTTTTTTGGGGGGGAGGAGGGGGTAGGCCATGGGGTTAAGTGATTTGCCCAGGATCACACAGCTAAGTTAAATGTCAAGTGTCTGAGGCAAAATTTGAACTCAGGTCCTCTTGATTCCACGGCTGGTGCTCTATCCACTGCGCCACCTAGCTGTCCCAATTCAATGATGTATTTAAGGAATAACAAGAAAGCCAGTTTGGCTAGAAAGTGCATAAAGCAAAGAAACAGATAACAAACATGGAAAGGCAGACAAGTATGAAGGGCCTTAAAATGCCAAACAAAGCAGTTCATATTTGATCCTAGAAGTAGGAAGGAGCCACTGGAATTTACTGAGGGAGTCACACGATCAAGCCTGTACTTTGGGAATATCACTTTGACAGCTCTGTGGATGATGGATAGAAGAGAGGAAACTTGAGAAGGCTAGACTTAGAAGGCCAATGAAATAATCCAGACAAGAGGTGATAAAAGCCCGAAACAGGATGGGAACCATGTAAGTAGGAAGAAGGGAGGTGAGAGATTTCACAGAGGCAGAAACAAAAAGATTTGGCAACTGACTGGATATCTGGGGCTAGGAAAGAGTGAAAATGATCAAAGATGACTCTGAGTTGGTGAGCCTGGGGAACAGGCAGAGCAGCGGATAGAGCCCTGGGCCTGGGGTCAGAAGGACCTGAGTTCATATTCGGCCTCAGACATTTAGTAGTTGTGCAATCCTAGACAAGTCTTTCAACTACTCTGTTTGCCTCAGTTTCCACAACTATAAAATGGGGATAATAAAAGCACCCACCTCCTAGGGTTGCTGTGAGGATCAAAAGAGCTAATAATTGTTAAGTGATTAGTACAGTTCAGCACATAGGAGGCACTTAATAAATGTTTGCTGCCTTCCTTCCTATAAGGATAGGGATGCCACAGGAAGCAGGGAAGGAGGAACAGATGATGAGGTTGGTTTTCATGTTGAGTTTGAAATGCCTACAGGATATCCTGTTAAAAATGTTTGATAGGAAGTATTAGAAACAAAGGGTGAAATATATGTCAGGAGTGCCTGGTTTTTTGTGTGTGCCATGGACCTTTTTGATTGTCTGGGGAATTCTGTGGTCTCCTTCACAGAGTGTCTTTAAACGTTTCAAATAAAATATGGAGAATTTCAAAGGAAACAAAAAAAAATTTGATAGGCAGTTAATGATATGGAAGTGGAGAAAAAGAAAGAGATTAGGATTAGATATATAAGTATTTCACATAGTAACTGAACCCATGGGAGTTGATGAGGTCTCCAAAAAATAAAAAGCAGGGACAGAAGAAGACCCAAGACAGAGTCATAGATCTATCCACAATGAAGGGGCTGAATATGCATGATGATTCAACAAAGAAGGCTAAAGAGTGGTCAGACAGGTAGGAGAACCAAGAAAGAACAGGGTCATAAAGAACTTGATAGGATGGACTAGCCAGGAAGAAAGGAGAGAAATACAGTACATAAATAACTATAAAGAAGTTAGACTAAGAACAAATGCTTAGGGAGAGGCCAAAGAGGTATAAGAAATTCAAAGCATCTCCAGAGTTAGAAGGGATCTAAGAGACCATCTAGTCCTACCTGAACCAGAAGAATGTCTTCTATTCCATGTCTGCAAGTGTCTCTGGAGGAATACCTTGAGTGAAAGGGAAAAACCACCTCTAAAAGCAGACTATTCATTTTGGGGTAGCTCTAACTCTAAGGAAGTTTTTCCTTAAACCAAGTTTAAATCTACTTCTGTATAACGCTACCTAAGGCTCCAAATTCTACCCACTTAGACCAGGTAGAATGAGTATTATACCTCTCTCAATGACAGACCTTCAAATAATTGAAGACAGCTCTCATGTTCCAATTAATAACTTTATGGCTGGATTCACAGCCACCTCACCCTCCTCTGGATACACTGCAAACAATTTCTTTTCTCAAATGTCACTCTCAGGAAGTGAACACAATATTCCACATGTGATAGGACCAAGTCTATACTCTCCCATGTTTGAGGATAAAGGGAAGCTTCCTAGAAAAGGATGCCCCAGAAGTAAGGATGCCCCTTGAAAGAAGATGAGAATGTCAGCAGCTACAGCTACAGAGGAAGGCCATCACTGCAAAACAGATATACAATTCCAGAGTCAGAGGAGAAATGATTTGAATTAAAGAATGATAAATTAAGGAATGCCTTTGGATTAAGGAACAGCTTGGTCGGAACACAGAATACGTGTAATGAGAATTAGGCTGTAAAACTAGTAGGTGAGAAGTAGATGGGACATGGCCTTGAAAACCAGACTAAAGAGTGTGCATTTTATTCAATATGCTTCTATGAAAACCTACTAAAGAGTCCTATGTATAGATATTCAGTACTATATATTGAAATTAAAGTGACTTCATAATAAGGTATTTCTAATTATAATAGCTTCCATACATTTTTTAAGTCTCTACATAATCTGATTCAAAGATATCTTTGATCTTCTAAGAATCATTCTAACAATCATTCAACAAAAGGTGTAATTGTTCACTAATAATCACCACTGGACAACAGAAACAGGCATCTTTTAATGTAGGAAGTACAAACACTGAAAGAATAAAATTAGTTCTCAAATTCCCACACTGACCCCCCCCAAATACACACACACACACACACACACACACACACACACACACACACACACAGAGGTGTGTGTGTGTGTGTGTGTGTGTGTGTGTGTGAGAGTGTGCATGTGTAAAAACTTACATTCTACTTGCTTTTCTTACTCAGACAGCTTGATAACACTAATGATCATCTGTAATGTAAATACTCTCTAGTAAAGTTTAATAAGAAAAATACTCTTTGGAGAATACAAAAATTTTTCTACTTGTTCATTTACCATAAGTTTTCTCTGTTTGTTGTTGTATTTGCATATATTAGTATATAATATATACTGTTTTTTTGCCTCTTTTTGTATTCCCAGAGCTCAGCATGATGCCTGACACATAACAGGTACTTAAATTTTTATTAACATTGCTTATTATTGAGAAGCAGCATGGAGCAGAGTAGAAAGAGTCAAATTTGTAGTTAGAGGACTTTCGTTCAAATCCTGCCACTGTTATTATTCCCAACCTGGGACAATCCAGTTAAGATTTCTCGGTTTTAGTCCACTCATTCATAAAATAAAGAGACTGGACAAGATGACTATTGAAATCCTGTCCAGCTCTAATTTATGATCTATCTATAGCTACGGATATAGATACAGGCATAGATAATATACATACCCAGATACCCAGAGAGGGCAAGAGAATGAAACAATGACAGTGGATAATATTTCTTTTTTCATGTCTAAGAAGATAAAACTCATTTTGCTTATCCCTAGAAAAGAAACTATGGATAGGTGGATATTATTTTTTAAAACTATATGAAAATAATAATGTAAAGACAATAATCTAAAGCTTTAAAATACCTATGTAAAATAAATACATATCCACATTTTTACCTCTTGTTACTTTTTTCACTAAGAATGAGAAAATTCTTTTTAAGTAATCTCCCTACTATATTTGACTGGTTTTCATATTGGAAAATGGCAGACGGGTAATTTTATAATGATAAGTCATATCTGGGGAGAGAGCCATGGTAATGGGCAACAGCATTAACTAAACATGCTCAAATTGTTGCCAAACTATAAGAACAATTTTTACATTTATAGAATCAGAGAGAAGTAATCGTTGGGTGGTAGACAGAAAGTAAGACTCAGAAGGAAGAAGACCTGGATTCATCTCCTGCCTCTGACATTTAATAGCTGTAAAAGTCAAAGGTTAACTCTTAGTACTCTAGCCAATTCTCTAAGACTACAAGTTATAGAGAAAATGCCAATCTCTATTGGTAGAGGGAGTTTCTTCACCAGAGAGCTCCTTATAGCAGTGAAATGGTAAGTCCAATTCCAGCCCCAAGAAATCATAGAATAAGAGAAAGCTAGAAAGGATCTTAAGAGATCAATTCATCTAACATTATCATTTTCCAAGAAAGTTAAGTGACACCCAGAGAGGCCAATAAGCATCTCATTTAAAAGGTAACATGATACATTAAGGCAGAAAATTATATTTCAAGTTAGAGGAACTATGCTCAACTACTGCCTGTAGGCAAGTCTTTTAACCTCTCTGGGCTCCTATTCTTGACTTGAAAAATTATAGTGTCTAATTAGATGGTCCCTAGGGTCCCTTCCAACTTGAAATCTATAATCCTATAATCTACAGAGGAAATCAGTATCAGAGACAATATCAGAACCCAAGTTCCCAGTTAAATGTTGGTTTATTTCCTCACCAAACCACAGAATAAGTTATTTCTTGTTAATATTTTGATTCAGAAAAATGGAAGATTTTCAATTACCTTCTCTTATTCTTCTGCTGCTGAGCTATTTGTTCCAACAGTTCTTGTCTATACTTTTCTTTCCTTCTCCGGATAGTATCTCGATCTTGACTTGCTAGAGGTTAAACGAATGTAAGAACAAATACAACTGGAAACTTAAATAATTCTCTAGCCCACTCACTACGATAGCTGTTCTAAATTTCTCTTCTCTCCTCTATCCACCTCCCCCCTGTACTCCTTCCCCTTAGCCTCTCAAGTCTTCAAAGACCTGGCTTTATACCTCCCCAAGAAAATGGAAACCATTCACTATGAGCTCCCTCTTCTCATCTCATAAATTCATAACATCATCTTTCATTAATTCTTCCTTTAGTCCAATTCTTAATAAAGATTATCTTCTCTTTATAAGGTTAATTTGTCTACATCTCCTCTTGGATCCGACCCCTCCTGCCCGTTGTGGCTCACTCTCTCCACTAAAATACTTTCTATATCACTAATATTCAGTCTCTCCTTAACCCTCCCAAGATTAACTTATACTTGCTTTAGATATATTTTTGTATATATTCACATATATGCATATCTTTCCCACCTACATAAACTGAGGCAGAGAATATTTAATTTGTGTCTACAAAAGTTCCCTATTTTCCACTAATTCACACATAAGATTTCATCCTAATTCCCCCTATACCTACCCAATGTTATCTCTCACTACTAATCAACTTCACAGAATAACTGTTACTCTCCTCTCTGATCAACCTAATCTCTGAGCCACACTTTTGTTTCAAAAGTATTCCCTCCAGGGGCAGCTAGGTGATACAGTGGATAGAGCACCGGCCCTGGAGTTGGGAGGACCTGAGTTCAAATTCGGCCTCAGATACATAACTCTCACTAGCTGTGTGACCCTGGGTTAAGTCACTTAACCCCAACTGCCCTCACAAAACATAACAAACAAATAAATAAACAAAAGTAAAAAGTTGGATAAATAAAGATGAAAAAATTAAAATTAAAAAAAAGTATTCTCTCCACTTAGAATGTCAGAGAATGTTATCCCCCTCCATTGATCCAAATCCTACCAATTCATGTAGGCCCAACCATAGTCTCACTTTTTCCATAAAACTTTCCTTCAATATTTATACTAAAGCACTATTTCTCTTCTCTGAAATCTCTGTAACAAGCACTGTCTGTACCTTTTGGTATATACTTCCATTTAGAAAACATATATTATACAGTGTCTATTTTTCCCCAATAAAACTGAAAGTTCTTTTAGAAAACAGATTGGTTTATATTTATTTAATAACCCTTACAACATATACTACAAGTTTTTGATGACAATAATAACCATAATAATAGTTAATATTTATATTATTTATGTGCTAAGTACCTTACAAATATAAAAGCATTTAATTCCAAAAACATTCATATTAACAACTATAGTAGGAAAGGCTAAAGCAGTTACAAGAAAATCTGATTTATGCAGAATTCAAACAACCAGAAGATTAGAGTGCCAAACTATATTTTACACTCAGCTTTAATAACAAATAAGCAAAGTGATGTCAGGGATTTAATTTTTAAATTAACGCTAAAAAAATGTGAGCCCAGTCTATACATGTTCTATATTTATAGTAACTATATAATTATAATTTGTCTTCATAATAAGTAAGGCCTAGCATTTTATCACCAGGGGCAGCTACGTGACTCAGTGGATAGAACACCGGACCTGGAGCTGGGAAGACCTGAATTCAAAAATGACTTCAGACACTTTTACTAGCTGTGTGACCCTGGCCAAGTCACTTAATCTTGTTTGCCTCAGTTTCCTCATGGGAAATGGTAAACCACTTAGCATTTTTGCCAAGAAAACCCCATACAGGCTCACAAAAAGTAGGACACTACTGAATGACTGGACAACAAAAACATAGCCACATAAATGCTTTTGCTTATATTATTTTGTCTCCCTTAAATGCCCTCTTTTCTTCTTTCCACATTATTTAACTCATATACTTTCTCCTAAGTTCAGGTAAAGTCCCACCAGCCTTTTTCAACTGTAACTGCCCTATAATCTCTTCATATCCATCCCACATCTCCCTCCTGAGTTCTATTCCTACACATTTACATTCAACACTGAACTAGCTACCTAGATATCAAATGGGTCAACTCTAGAAAAAGGCTGTCATTCACTCTCTTAACAGAGAAAAGGACCAAGAACCTTATCTGTTCTACTCAGTTAACCATACCTCTGCACAAATGTTTACAGGGTTCTCCTCTAAACTCCTATCTGGGTCACCAGTCATATTGAGAGTCCAAAGAGAAAGCTGTAACTCCTTAGACCAAGGAACTCACTCTTCTCCTTTATGGAGCAAGCCTCAGGGTGGTTCCCCTTTTGCATTGGTCAAACTAGTTATCAACCCCTCAAAAAAATTTTTTTTAATTCCTTAGCATACTTTGTTTTCTACTTACAAAATTTTGTTATTTTATCTTATATCCCTAAAATATTAGGAAGAACCCTCCCTATTTCCAAAAGTGTGATGATGTTCGGGTCTGCCCAAGTGCACTATTTTCCTTGTAGCACTCTATTTTTATAGATAAAATATTTCTTTATCTTAAGCAAAAACAACAAAGATGAGCCCTCAGATCCCACTCTTATCATCCCATTCTTTCAAACAATGCCCTAGAATCCTGGGAACTAGAAAACTGAAATCCCTTCAAAATGTACCAGAGATGGGACCTTTTTACATATAAAAAAAGAAAATCTTTTAAGAGCTAAAAGCTGAAAATTGTTTGTTCCTAAAACTTGGGGATTCTAACCCCTCAGGATGCTGCTACTGGGGGTGGGGGGAAAAGCAGGAGTTAACACAGATGCTGGCACCCTTGTCTCCTCCCACAACTAGCTCTTCTGAGAGAGAACCTCTCCACTGACTAGAGATTTGACAGAAAGCTACCTCTGGCCTTGCAACCCTACCTGAGACCTCAATTTGGGGGGAGCTACTGGTCTTTCCCTGCCCCCGTTTTCTCACCCTAACCAATCTGAGACCCCAAACATCTAATGTCTCAGACACAGGCCTGTAAAAATTTCATTTCACCTCCTCCTTACACCTGTCTGGCAACCACTTACTGGTTACAAACAAACCCATCAATAAATTTCACTAGGACAGCTAAGTTGTATGCATGTGCCCTCCTTGTTAATGCCCTATTTAATTATTATATAATCATTCCTTAGGAAAACTGCCACTAAATGTAATAAGAAAAACTGATCAAATATCCTTCTCAATTATTTTCTATGAGCCCCAAAAGTAACCCTGACTTATCTGAAGAAAATAGGGCACTAAAACACAAAAAGAGCATGCTGACTAAATTTTAAAAATACATAAAATTACTACATTTAAAAAAAACAAACAAGATAAATAACAATTTCACAAGTTTGTAAAATTCTCATAAAGCTAATATTTCACTACTCTAACAAAAAGTGTTTCCCTTAAAAATAAGTAAGGGGCAGCTAGGTGGTGCAGTGGATAGAGCACCGGCCCTGGATTCAGGAGGACCTGAGTTCAAATCCAGCCTCAGACATATAATACTTATTAGCTGTTGATCCTGGGCAAGTCACTTAACCCCACTGCCTAACCAAAAAAAAAAAAAAAAGAAAAGAAAGGAACATTAAAAATAAATAAAACTTCAATTAAAATCTCACATAGGCCTAGCCATACTAAGATATCACAAAAATGTGTATTTCAAACACAGAATACAAAATATTTCTGCAAAGTCCTCGTCAGTAAGGAAATGTATACATACCAAAAATCATCCCTGCAAAAGGACTCTCAGTTTTAACACTGGCAGACTTTGATCGTTCATCAGCAAGATGGCTATTACGCACACTGGTAACAACAGGAAATGAAAATTAATCAGAATCCAAATAACATACAAGCAAAAATGCTGTAATAAAATATGAATATGTCACTTATTCACAGATTTTTAAAAGTCAGTAGAATGTAGTATATCTTGGCAAATTTACAACAAAATCATGAGCATTCTTTTTCTGTTTCTGTGCAGGTTACAAGGAAAGTAACATACTCTTGTGCAAGCAATAGCAAGGTTTAGCTGTACAGGGCTCTTAACTCACAGAGAGCTCTGCTCCACACTGAAAATTCCACCCCTGAAAAAAGAAATACTCAAAGGAACTTCCTATGAAAGTGAAGATTTTAACAAGTAAAGTTCTCATAAACTAAAAGAAAAATTGGTGTTTTTCCCCCCACACTTAGAAAAGAGAATAATCCCAAAAGATTTCCTGGGACACATGAACCACAAATAACTGTGATCTGTTTCCTTCAAAAGAGGATCCCAATTACTTGTAACTAAAAGAGGACATTTTCTTCTCTCTGATGTTGACTATTTAAAATCTTGTGATTCTATTTTACTCAAAGGAAAATATTCATCTCAAAATATAACTAAATTCAGTATAATCTGTAGGTTCTCAAAATTAGTGTCTTACACATGACATATGGATAGGACAACCATACACCCCACAATTTTATAGAAGAGTCCCAATTTCAAGAGAAAAAAAAGTATTCTTTTAACAAGGCCTTACAAATAAATCTTTTCTCAGAGCCCACATGTACTGATTTTTGGTCCAGAAAATATGATCACCAAACATATATATGAAAGAAAGAAGTCATACAGCCCTTTCCTTCTCCTAGAAATACTGAAACTCACAATTATAATGAGTTACAAAAAAGTTAAATCCTAAAAAAATTTTCATTTTAGCAAGGCATATGTACCAAGAACTGACTCACAGAGAAAAAAATACTACTTCATACAAGCAGTAAACTTCCAAAAAATTTTTTTAACAAAAACAAAAATATATTGTCCTACAGAAACACATATGATTAACTGGAAAGAAATCTTTAGCTCCTCTGTAATTTTGAAATACTTTAAATGTATTTCTATCAGACTAACTTATATTTCATATGATACAAGATTCTTATTTCTAAAAATGTTGTGAAGGATTTATAATACTGATACTATCTGATGTCTTTAATATAAGTTACATACAGCAATTTTTTAAAGAAAAAAGTGCTATGACCTAATAAATATTCCTTCTAAAGCAAATCTCACCTCCCTATCCTAACAGCTTTTTTAATGACTTCCTCTAGGATCAAGAAACCCTGGTAATAAATACATATGTTCAGGGACAGCTAGGTGGCACACTGGATAGAGCTCCAGCCTTGGAGTCAGGAGGACCTGAGTCCAAATTTGGCCTCAAACACTTGACACTTACTAGCTATGTGACCCTGGGCAAGTCACTTAACCCTGATTGCCTCAACCCTCCCCCACCAGGAAAAAAAAAAAAAAAGGAAATAAATACATATGTTCTCCACTCAGTCGTTTCCAGGGAGTTGCAGTTTCCCCAATGAAATGACTGAAGGATAAAATTAAATTACATATTATACCTGTTATTTCCAGCCGATGAAACACGTATGTTTGATTTTTCTGGAAAATCTTCCTCATATTCCATAGGAGGAACTCTCTCTTGTCTGTTTCTGTACATCCTTAAAAATACATGGGCTTATAAAGCATACTCCATCTACAGTGGAACCTCTTTACATCTCCCAAGTTTGGTTTTTTACATTAGATATACATATATGTATTTATATAGATATAGATATATATAGCTATACATTAAATGGAGCAGAATGTTATAATGAAGTTTCACTGTAAACACACACTAAAATCAATTACAATAGGACGATACAAATAAAATCTACCAGTGAGCAAAAGGGCAAACATTTACTTTAGATATTTATAATATTTATTTAGAATGTTCAATTAACTATAAATTATCTCAGTATGACTTCTACAAATTCAAAATGCAGATTACACTCTTTCAATATTATTCATAACAGAAAATCCTTACCAATTAGCTATTTATTTAAGGAGCTAAGTACTCCCTAAGAGATCAGAATTCAGAAAAGCCAGGCATTATTTCAACACAGAGATAAACAATAAAAATACCACATTAGCCTTATAAATATTTTAAACCAAATGGAATATAGGTTGGGCATCAAATCATCGGAACATTTGTTTAATACCCTTAATTACAAGAAATATTATATCATAAGATGATGAAAACTGCATTAGAAACAGGATATATCAGGTAAAGAAACTAGGTTAACTTTTCTTCATTAAAATTCTTTTTTTTAAATTATGACTCTTAGATAACATTTTACTTATTCAGCTTTTTTTTTCCATTTGGCAAACACTGATTTCTTCAGTTGACTTTCTCCTAGGGAGAAATCAACATGATATTTTATTTTACATCCACATTTATTGGCATCCGTAATATAAGTCTAGTTCTGCTAGTAATACTATGTTAATTGTAAATGCTAAATTAGAATTATCATATGTTATTTTTCCCATGGGCCCTACCACAGAGATAGGAATTTAAATTATCTTATTTTTCACTCTTTACAAAACCACCATACATAGTCTTTACTTCATAAACTCTAAAAAGTAGCATCAATGAAGGAGACTGAAACCCAGGATTCTGGCTTTTATTATTAACAGCTTGGCCAGATACACAATCTCTCCTACTCCTTACTTCTTCATCTGAATCAACAAAAGCCTTCATGAGTCACTTTCAAAATATTAATTTCATTTTCATTTCAATTTGTCGGATTTTATTTCAAACCTAAAGTCTATGCACCAAAATGTTCTTGACTCCTACAGCTTTGCATTGTTTTCCAGCGCTTTCTCTCCAAAAGTATTCAACAAACAGCAACTCAAATTAAGCCTTAATTCAAAAATGTCTCCTGATGTACGTAGTTAAATTCACTGTTGGCATTAGGATTAAACATATTTTAAAAGTACATTAGAAAAATAATCAGTTATATAAAAATACAAGAATTTCAAGTGCAAAAAGAAGTCTGGGTCACAGAACAAAAAGGAAACGCAAAGAAGTACTGAAATCTATCATGACTGAAACTTCCATTGATTACTTAGTAGCCACCAGCTAACTCAAGTTTTAGGTGAGTTTTAACTAGCATTTTAACTGTAGATTACCTTTATATGGCATGAGATCTATGCTTTAGAGAAGGGAAGAATTTATGACCAAACAAGAGATAGAGAGCATTATGAAGTGCAAAATGGTATAATTTTAATTACATTCAATTAAAAAGTTTTTGCACAAGCAAATCCAATACATCCAAGATTACAAGGAAAACAGAAAGCTGGAAAACAATTTTTACAGCAAGTATTTCTGATAAAGGCCTCATTTCTCAAATATATAGAGAACTGAGTTAAATGTATTAGAATACAAGTCATTCCCCAACTGATAAATGGTCAAAGGATATGAACAGGCAGTTTTCAGATGAAAAAAATTAAAACTATCTAGAGTCATAGGAAAAAATTCTCTAAATAACTATTGGTTAGAGAAATGCAAACTAAAACAATTCGGAGGTACCACCTCACACCTATCAGATTAGCTAACATGACAAAACAGGAAAATGATACATGTTGTAGAAGATGTGGGAAAATTAGGACACTAATGCACTGCTGGTGGAACTGTGAACTGATTCAACCATTCTGGAAAGCAATTTGGAACTATGACCGAAGGGCAATCAAACCATGCTTACTCTTGGATTTAAAAAATACCACTACTAGGTCTGTATCCCAAAGAGGTCATAAGAAAGGAAAAAAGGACCTACATGTACAAAAATATAGCAGCTCTTTTTGTGGTAGCAAAGAATTGGAAATTGAGGGAATGTCCATCAATTGGGGAATGGCTGAACAAATTGTGGCATATGAATGTAATGGAATACGGTACCATAAGAAATGAGGAGCAAGCAGATTTCAGAAAAACCTGGAAAGATTTACATGAACTGATGCCAAGTGAAGTGAGTAAAACCAGAACATTGTACACAGTGACAGCAACACTGTGCGATAATCAACTATGATAGACTTAGCTGTTCTCAACACTACAATGATCCAAGATAATTCCAAAAGACTCATGATGGAAAATGCTATCTACATCCAAGAAAAGATCTATGGAATCTGAATGCAGACCAAAGCATACTATTTTTCACTTTTTAAATTTTTTTCTTTGCAATTTTTTCCCTTTTGTTCTATTTCTTCTTTCACAGCATGACTAATATGAAAATATGTTTAACATGATTGCACATGTATAACCTATCTCAGATTACTTGCTGTCTTGGGAAGGGAGGAGGGGAAGGAGGAAGGCAGAAAAATTTGGAACTCAAAATGTCATAAAAAATTAATGTTGGAAACTATCTTTACACGTAATTGGAAAAAGTAAAATTCTATTAAAAAATAAATCAGAATGAGATCTATGTAGCTAGGGACAAAACCACTGTGCTAGGCATTGGAAAAGATACGAAGACAAACAAGACAAGGATCTTTCTATACAGAATTTACTAATCTAGTTCATAGTTCAGCAGAAGGTTGAAGGCAGAGGGAGTAGTCAGGGGAATCCCTCCTTACCTACTAGGAGTATGGCCAAAATTTAAGCAGATTACAAGAAAAATAAAATAACCTTATTGATCTTCAAATATCGAAAATGATGGAAAAAATTAAGTTTGGGACAAATAAAAAAAACAAGACAAGGGAAAATTTATTTTCTTTTTAAAAGGAAATGCTGAGGCCTTCTAAGTGATATCTTGCTAGTTGTCAAGGCAACTAAAGAATATTTCAGCATTGGTAGATTTTTCTTTTTAATTATAATAAGTAGATTAGGTTTCTTACAGACATGGATCCTGTCGAAAGAAATTCAAATGGAATGAAAAAGTTTATAATACAAAAAAAAAATCACCCACAAGATAGGGTAAATTGGAAAGTCAAATCACTCTGAATGTGTAGCATTATTTCCATGAAATGAAAGAATATAACATTATTTAATGTTTTAGTTAAAAAAATAAGCAAAGCTTGTCTTTTTATTGTCTACAAATGTTTTGTTGTTTTTATGGTTTTTGTCCTTCTTTAGCTACTTAAACAATTTCCTATCACATTTTCAATAAGTTCATCTTTTAATAAGTCTCAAGCACCTCTGACCTGTAGGACTGCTTACAATTTACAGGTGTATTTTCAAAGCCCATTATTTAAAGGTAATGGAAGCTCTCTACAGAAAGTGGTTGGAGGTACAGCTAGGTGGCGCAGTGGACAGAGCACAGGCCCTGAAGTTAGGAGAACCTGAGTTCAAATCCAGCCTCAGACCAAACACTTGACACTTATTAGCTGTGTGACCCTGGGAAAGTCACTTAACCCCAACTGCCTAAAAATAAAAAAAAATTTTTAAAAATCCAAGAGAAAGTGGTTGGAGTCTACTTAGTAAGGAAAGGAAGGAAATGGGGAATGGCTTTATTATTCCTATTTCTTCCCCTACCAGCATGAACGGCTGACCATGATAGGTCAAGAAGAAACAAAAGAGAGAAATCTAAGAGTCACTCAACTCATTATGCACCTGAGGAACTGATATACCACAGTCTTTCGTTTTCCATCAGCAAGAAAGTGAGAGGTAGCCAGTAGTGTGCTGATAAATGATTAACAACTGGGTCTCCCAAAAAAAAAAGTTCACATGACATACTTTTAAGCTTAATGAGCATTATTAACATTTTCTCCATCATTTTTTAAAATCTAAACAATCACAAAACAATAAATCAAGCCCTGATTTATAGCATTTGCTAATTTCCAAGGTATAAATGCTCACACTGAAAACTAACAATCAGGGAGCTGGTAGGAATAGGCTCCAGCACAGTCCTAGAAAGGAGGGGATCTGAAGACTATCACTTTCAGTACTGAAAATATAATACTAATAATCCAAATGTCCCCAGTACCATACAACTCGGAGGTATGTATTTTATATCCACACTCAAGCAGTTTAGTTAGAACTATAGATTGGCTTCAGAAATACAAAAATAGCATAATCATTCAACACTCCTCCACCTCCTACCTTTCCTATTGCTGTAGAAGACAACACCATCTTCTCAGTCCCTCAGGCTCCAGATCTAGGACTCATTTCAGACTCTTCACTATCTCTCACCCCCATATCCAAGCTTGTTGTGAAGGCCTGTTGATTTCAATGCTGCAGTATCTCTCAATTACACCCCATTTTCTCCTCATATACTGCCACCACTCAAGCGCAGGTCCTCATCACCTCACACCTGGATAATTGCAATACCCTGATGCTGGGTCTGCCTGCTTCAAGTCTGTCTCTACTAAAATCCATTCTCCATTCAGCCACTAAAGTGTAGATCCAACCACATCACATACACCCCTATTCAATAAATTCCAGCGGCTTCTTATCACTTCCAGGAGCAAATACAAAACGCTCAGTCTGGCATCCAAAGGCCATCACACCTAGCCACCTACCTTTCCAGTCTTCTTACACCTTATTCCCCTACACATACTTTTTGATCCAATGACAGGGACCTCCTGGCTATTCCACAAACAAGGCACTCCATCTCTCAGCTCTGGGAATTTACAAGAAGCCTTTTCCCATCCCTTGGGGGCATCTAGGTGGCACAGGGGATGGAGCACT